AGTTATTGCTAAGTTTGATGAAGTAATAAACAATAACCCAGTCAAGGCGTAGAGAGTGGTTATGAAGAAACCTCGCAGTTAATAGAGAGTAAAAGTGTTCAAGTGCACTGACTCAACCAGCTTCAACATAATAAAACATATTTAAGTAAAAAAAGTATTTAAATGCTTTTAAGATCATATCGAATCAAACTGATGAACTCTTCATACCAAAAAAACAATTAATTACTATAAAAAATAAAGTTTTTAATAGTACTAAGTATAATAGGCGTTTTCGGTGGCTCGCAAGTATGACAAAAAACAGTAAGTTGCTAGCCTATACTGACTAAAATATACGCAAAACAAAAACACCGATTCTCTATCTAGGCCAGTAGTTTTATATTGGTCAAACACATCGGACAGTAAAGGACAGTGTTACCAACGCAATAAGTGAATTATTGTGAGCCTTCATTGGAGATTCTAACGAATATTGCAATCATATTTCAAAAATCGTATGTAAATTCAAACAGAATTCAAAAATTTCATGTATTTGAAAATTGGGGAAAAAAAAAATCTCAGGGTTTTATTTTGAAATTTCCAACATTTTTACCATTCCTTTTAATTTTGTTTTCATTTTAATTTTCAATTTTATGTTAATTATTTATTTTAAACAAAATGTAATTTGGTTGCATTATGTGCACGAATGCAAGATTTGCTATTTGCCAAAACATAACATCTGACAGATTGCAACAGTGATGCCAATGTCTCGCTTAGCCAATATATGCCAGTTACTTTATTTTTTTTCACCTAATATTTTTTTAATTAGCAGACTATTATAAGCTACCCTAACAGATGTCATGTAATTATTTTGCACAGCTGTTTGTAAACAGTCTAGTGGTTTAACTTGTATATTATATCCCCATCGAGCTACTTAATAATATGAGATACAAAAGTCTTTAATTTATAGTGTTTTATCTAAAAGACGTCCAGGTCTGTCTTGTAGTCCCGCTTGTTGATCGTGGTTACAACAAGCCCTTACACAAAGTATCAGATATAATTTGACTTTGGATTTTAAACTTTAACAGATATGAAAAGTTCACAAGATATGAAAATCTAGATTTCACTATCTGTCTATGCTTTTTACATCAATATTAAAAGTTGAAATACTAAAAAATGTTCAAACTATCTGAATATATATGAAATTCTGTAACTTGATAAATAGTTTTTAAGTTAAATAAATTACAGTAAGACCACAAAACAAGCAACAGATAAAAATATGAAGTAACCAAAAAGGTAAAACATTTTTTAACAAATAAATACCTGCCAAATATGATGCGTTGCCAATTACTTTCTGTATGACGCGAGTTTTAAAATAGCAATAGAGTAGCTAAAATATACTCGCAATTTATGAAAAAAATATGTGAAGTAACAACAATGCTCTTAAAATATTCAGAGTTAGATTTTACTCGCAAAAAGTTTTACGTCTTCAGTTTTAGTGCAGCCAAATTCAAAAATCAGTCTATTGTGAATGTTCACTAGAAATATGTAGCAAAATTCCAGTCATCCGTTAAAACTATATGAGCAATTCATTTATTCATAAATTAAAATACATAAATGAACAAATTAATTTAAATATAGGTCTTTTCATTTGTAAATATATCACAATTGCTTATTGCTTATTTCAATACCATATGAAATCACAACACTGCTGCCTTATTTAATCTAACCTTTTATGAAATCACTTTACTAATAAGCAACTCAAATCACATGGTTGCCAAGACTAAAAATTCGTCTTTTGTGAACGATTTTGATAGCAAAATTTCTATTTTGTCCAGAGTTGCCGACACAGTAGTGCTTATTTTATTTGTTCTTTTGCCTTATATACGATAAAAATGTATTTCAACCAAACTTAGTGCTGGTTTTTTACAACTCAAAGAAAAATTATGGCTAATATAGGTGGTGTGCGAGTTCGAGTAAATTGATGATAAATTGGGGGAAATAGTAAATTATGTCGGTATGGCAGTAAATGTTGGTATTTACCAGAATTTCGAGTAGGGGAAATTAGGTAAAAATGAGGTAAATTAGGTATTACCATTATGAAAATTTTATAAGATATTTAATAAACACATAAATACATTTGAAAACTTTTAATAGTAAATTTATTACATTTTATATATTTTCTTTTTTTATATTATGAATATTTTATGTTGATTAATAATTGTATCACATTTATTTAATAATAAATACAAACATTTGGCACAAAACTATTAGTTACTTGATTTTAAAAAGCTAATTGTGAAACTTTGTGCTATTGATCTCGCAACGTTATTTGTTTTGTACAAAAATAATTTCAAAGTGCTATTTTCTAAAGAAGGAAATATAATGAAGGATGTACGTATGTTATTTTATTTATTCATTACAGATTTAACAACACGTTCCTATTTATTTTTAAAATTTATAAAAATTTCTTCGGCCGTTTCAAAAAGCTTACAAAACAATATATATGAAAAGCTGATGTTAATTGTCAAAATTACCATCAATTTATTTGAACTCGCAAAAAATCCCTAGAAAATTTCAATTTACTTTATCCATATTTATTCAAACTCGCACATGGCCCCTTATTTATTTTTGAATCAATATCATTTTGTTGTATTTATATAAATGTATCATTCACAATAATATATAAAACACAGCTGACAAATGGTAACCATCTGGTCACTTTAACAGAATGAACAAAATTTAAACAGAACTTACGAGTCTCGTTATAATATTTTATTGTACGAAAAACGTTGCTCTCGTTTCATAGCGATTTCATTTGCCTTGTTGGGAAAGTGAGTTTCATTTTTTCGTGCACATATAAATAATAAATTAAGAATAGTAAGTATTGAAAAAAATTTCTTTAGTTATTTGAATAAGAAAAAAAATTTTCATTATGCTGTCATGAATATATTCAGGTCAATTACTAATTTTTTGTGTGTTTATTGAAAATAGTTTTACAAAATTGTGTGTCGTCGTCGCCGCCGTAAGGTAAAATATTTTTAATTAAAAGTTAATTAAATTTTTTATTTAAATTACCTTGAATAACGTAAAAACCTTATGTTTATTGTGCATTAGAAAAAATTATGCATAAAATGTGTAATAAATTACAGGAAACGCCTTTAAAAAAAGAAATTGATTACAAAGTCTCATCCAAAATGGCGTCGGAAAAATTATCGCTGTACCGTATTTGCTCAGCAGCTTCATAATTTTTTCTTTTACGAATTTCATTTATTTTGTCTCGCGTACAAAAAAAATTTATACTTTTCACTTCTTTGTTAATAATATTATATGTGTATATGTGTGTATTTGTTAATTATGTGTAAATGTGTTTGCCAACTCATAATAGTGAGAAACTTAAATAATATATTTATTAAAAGTTAATTCCGTGTTAAAAAAAAAATAACATTGAAATAAATTGCAGTGAAATTTATGTACGTTTCCGTCGAGATTCATTACAATCGTAAGTTGTCGTTTTTTGTCGACAAGAGTTTAGCACAAAATTTGAATTGAGGTCAAAATCATACGCAGTTGGGGATTTCATTTCTATACTCAAGAAACACAGAGGGGTGTTTTCGTTTTACTTGGAATTAAGGGTGACTAACAAAGTATTAATATAATATCAAGAAATTAATAATACAAAATAAATATATTTTTGTTAAATAAATTAAGTCGTGATAATATACGTTTTTATTAAGTAAATTTTTAACAATAATTAAAAGTAATTTTACCAGCAGTATGATAATTTAGCAAAAACTGACGATACCCACCCCCGTCGCTTAAGGAAATATGTTTTTTGTTGTCTATACTAAGATGCAGAAAGTGAATTACCTTGCGTTCGAGGTTATTCAGAGAACAAAGAAAGCAAGCAAACAAGCAATATTGCAAGTAAACGACTTATGATTCACTTATATTGTTGCCACCTCAGTACAAATGATTTTGATTATCTCGTTTGCTTCAATTCAACTAATATTTTAAGTTTTTGTTTTAGGTTCTTTTTTTGGTTGTTGTTTTTTTTTGTATCTTGAATATGCGGAAAAGTGGAATTTCTAGATCGCAAACATAAAATGTGATAAACATATTTTGAAGTGATAAATATTTTATAGATAAAGTGTAGCTCACACATATGCTTTTGCACATTATTTGGAATTCTCAAATCTCTACCTGTGTCTCTACCTACCTGATTTAGTATATGTACTCGCATGTATGTATGTATGTACGTAGGTCTTACAATTTGGTAACTCTGCGAATATACAGTGTAACTTCGTAACAATGACCTTACGAAAATGCTTATACACACACGTACACATACATACATAGATACAAATACACATGAACAAAGAAATGGCAGCAATAGCACAAAACTAGACAGTCAACTACACATAATTACCTTCGGCTCTGCAGCATCTTTTTCTTCCTTTAGTTAATCTTCACTTACGACAAGTTGCAGATCTAGCGTTTTTTTTGTTTTGTTAATGTACGAAAGTCAATAATGTACAATTGTTATATGTAATTTTAATATAAAATTTATATGTATTTGTGTTATAAATTATTTTCAATAAAAAAAAGTTATAAAATAAAATTAATTAATAAATATTGGTGGTGTCACAAACGCGACAAAGGTTAATGTTCAATGTTATATGTATAAATTATTTTAATTAAATATATCTAATATAAATACCCTCCATATATTAATTATACACACATTTTTTATGTTACATACATATAATTTAATAAAAAATATATTTTATTTTATTTTTTTTCTCTTTTTTTTCAGATTATTGTGTTGTGTGCAAGGCATTTTGGACATTTAACATAAATTTGCAATTTACACTAAATCTAGAATATATAGACATATAGAAAAGACATATAAAAAAAATCTTAGTCAATCTTCATATATTTGTATTTTGTTACGTTATTGGTCTACGTCCTGAATTAGAATTTATTTAACACAGATTTATTAAATTTATATAAAAGTATATAGATAAACCAATTTGAAGGGTTATAAACTTCAGTCAGTTTTTTTTTTTGTGAAAGCGATTCAATTCGATACTGCCAGTAGTAACGCAAGCATAGCCAGAGAAGAAAATAAATTTCTTTTACAAGGCGCTTACGAAAAATTTGTCACCATTCCTCATTCAACGTTTGTAGATCATTTTTCACAGTCTTACGACAGTTCACGACAACGTTGGTTTGCATCCAACGAACAAAAAGCAGACATCATAGCTAACGACAGGAACGCTACAACAACCATCATTGAGGGAAGCAGTGGCACCGGTGATACTAGCATCGGCGGTAGCGGTTTGAAAATTGCAATAACGGCTCACCATAATAGTACTGAACATTTAAGTAATACTTGTAATAACAGAGGAGGAGGAGGCGGCGGCGGCGCTAGAGTCAGCTGCGGTGGCCAATCCCCACCAACACCAACTTTAGGTAAAACTTTATTGAATACCAGTGGAAATTTATTGCCAATAACAACTGCTTCTGATACGTTTAATAATTTGAAAAATCTTGTAAAAATTGATAAAGCTGCACCAGCCGCTAACAACGTTAGTAGTAGTTATCGTCCGAAAGCGAATAGTGGTTATAAGAACGGTGTTAACCATATTGGTTCACCTAAATCAAGCGAAGGTAGGCTTGTATCAAACGGTCAAATCGTTGGTAAATCTGGAGCTCGTGGCGCTTCGGCTCACTTCTCTACTGGTTTTAATAAGAATTCCGCCAAAATTCGTCAACACGATTCTGAAGTAAGCCCACGGCCTCGACGATCTTACCAGAGTGATTCGTCGTCGCCGCGTTACTATAACAAAAATAGTGACAATTTGGGTCAAGTCGGCCAAACTGGAGGTTCTGGCGTTTCATATAATAACACTGGACGATCTCTGATTAGTGAGTCTAGTGGACGTTCTGTACCGAATTCAGACGGCAGACGCAATTATCAAAACAATGATGGCGGTTATAACCGCAATGTAAACTCAATTAATGGAGGTGGTTATCGCCAACAAAACTCTCGCTTTGAAAACGGAAATGGAAATCATGGACAACAGCGGCAATATTCCGCAAACGCTGGATACAATCATTACAATAATAAGTCATATAATTCCCGAGGTTCAAATGAAAATAATGTAAACTTACGCTCATCTCAACGAGAAGACTACGGTAACAATTATCGCGATTACGAAGATACTGGACGTTCACGTTATACTGGTAATAATAACAATAATAATACTGACAGCTTAGAACGCACTAAGAACGGCAGATATAAGCCAACGGAGTCAGGCGGCTCCTCACTGCCTCCATCAGCCTTACGTCAAGGTAGTGGATTTGATAGCTACGATCGCACATCAATTGATAATAGAAATCAAAATAATCGTACACCACCAATACGTTCAGGAAATGCTGTAAATTCTGCGCCATCGTCTAATTCAACATCTTCATCATCACGTGGAATATCGCCAAATTATTTAAATACAGCACAACAGCCAGCAAAGGCTCCTACACCACCGCCCCCGTCCACTGGACGTTGGGTGCCACCATCATTACGCCCACAACATGGACTAACGCAAACTGAGAAAAATGACGTCGTCTTCAGAAAGGTAATTTTTACTTCACTTTATTTATATGGTACATATAATTTTTTCTATTTATATACTCGTACATATAATTAAATTAAAATAATTTATAATTATTTGAATAGGTTCGTGGTATCCTTAACAAATTAACTCCAGAAAAATTCCAAGAACTTAGTGATGAATTATTGAAACTTGATTTGAATACATTTGTAATTTTAAAGGGAGTAATTTTATTGATATTTGATAAAGCTTTGGATGAGCCCAAATACTCGTCTATGTATGCACAGCTTTGCAAGCGTCTATCAGAAGAAGCATTATCATTTGAAAAGGATCCAAATAGTTCAAATTCTTTCTTGCAATTATTAATTGCAGTCTGTCGGGATAAATTTAATAATCGCCTTAAACGTGATACCATTGATATCGATGCTAATCAATTTAATAGTATTAATAAATCACAATCGAGCGACGAGAATGATGCTGACGAAGAAGAACGCCGCCATTTGGCAAAACAGAGGATGTTGGGTAATGTCAAGTTCATTGGGGAACTTAATAAATTGGATATGTTATCAAAGAATGTTTTGCATCAGTGTATTATGGAATTATTGGACAAAAAGAAGAAACGTACGGCAACACCACAGGAAATGTGTGAAGATATGGAATGCCTGGCGCAATTGCTTAAAACTTGTGGCAAGAACTTGGATTCAGAACAGGGCAAAGAGCTGATGAACCATTGCTTTGAGAAATTGGAACGTCGATCAAAGTCTACTGACTTTCCACCCAGAATACGCTTCATGCTCAAAGATGTAATTGAATTGCGTGAAAACAATTGGGTTCCCCGCAAAATAGCAACCACAGAAGGTCCTGTACCAATTAAACAAATTCGTACCGATGATGATGCGATTATACGTACACCTTTCGTAAATCGAAATCGGGATATGCGCAACGATCGTGACAGTGACAGCTGGATGAATAGATTCCATTTGAATTTGCAACCTGGATTTAATGACATGTTTGGTAGTCTTAGTGTAACCGGAAGCTCTCCAATGATGTCACCGTAAGTACACAAAATTAAATAAAATTAAAATATCTTAATTTATGATTATCTAATTATTTTGCATTTGTCACCATTAGATTTGCTAATAATACATCAAACAGACAATACAATAACCGGGAAAGAAATAACCAAGGTAATAACTATAACAACCGGTTTAATAAACATAACAATCAAAATGTATTGAACAATAATCATCGTGACGATATGCGTAATGGTCAGCAAAATAATCGCGAACAAATGAATACACAATATGGTTCTGGTCAAATAAATAGCAAAGAAATCGCACCACGTTTCAAGCGTAATCTCATGTCTACCAATCAAGATGCAGTAGAAAATTTGCAAATGAGGCCAGCTGCAAATTCGCTTTTATTTAAGGCAGCTTCCCAAAACCAAAAGCTACCTGCCATGTTGCCCATTTCTACGCCACTAAGCATCGGAAGTGCTTCCAATACACATAGTGCTAACAAAGAAACGCAATTGTCCAATGCACAGTATCCAATGTTAGGTACACCAACATCGCACCTAATGAATCCTGCACGGCCATCTTCAACGCCGTCCGCAGAATATGACAACAGAAGTATGCAATCAAATATGACACCATATAATTACGAAAAGGGACTAAAGTCTACGTCCTCGTCACCAAACTTTGTGGCATCTTTAGTTAATAGTGACAAAGTGAATAGCAGTGACAACACCGTTGAAAACCATATAATGAATGATAAAAAATCAGCTGCTTCATCAACAGAACAATTAGTTACTAAGCAAGGTTCAGTTGAGAGGCAAGGGGCAGGTGCTAATAATTCTGCTAAGCAGCAAAAGAAAGACAAAGCTTTTAACAAGGATGAGGTGCTAAAGAAAACTACAAGTTTCATGAAGGAAAAATTCTTTTATGAAGTAGATAGTAGTGAAGAAGACAGTAATGAAGACGATACTCAGAATAACGAATATGGCAAACAATTAAGCGAGGTAATCGATGAATTTGTTGAGTTGAAGATACCAGAAAAATGTTTAAAAGATATTTGCATTAATTTAATAATGGATGTATTGGATAAAGCCGATGAAAAATTTTTGGACCGTGTTGTGTTATTCTTGAAAGCATTGCGTAAACAATATAAAATCAAACCAAATGTGTTTAATGAAATCTTCAAGCAAATAACGAATAAAATGAATGAACGCGAAGCTTTAAATCCACGAATCACAACATTTGTTGCATATTTGCTATGCAAAGCAGTTGGAGATGTTGGCCTAATAAAACTAAACGAAATATCAAATTACACTGACAATGGTCAACACTATCCACTCTTCCTTTTAGTCTTGCAACAATTGCATAGATCAATTGGAAAAGACTTACTTGAGGAGAAATTCCGTAATAGTAAAATTGAACTAATGAACAGTTTGCCTGAAGCAGACAGAAATAAGGCACGTCTAGCCGAAATCTTAGATGATCGCAATTTAGCTTTTCTTTATCCATTGCTTAAGGTACAAGCTGAAATGATAAAACAATTGAATTCAGATGGTAATCCAGCTGCATTTTACAAATGGATTAAAGCAAATGTTGATCTAAAACACCATAAAGAACCAGGCTTTATTAACGCACTTATGACTGTTATACTAAAACATGTAACACAGGTAATTATTATTATTTTTTTTTAATATTAAAATGTAAAGCTTACTTACGAATCTTTTATATAATTAGGAAACAAGCTTAGCTGAGGATACTGACATCAAAAAGCTTCCAGATAAGTCAGTTATTGAAAAGGAGGAAAATTTATTGCTTAAATATTGTCAAGTATTGTGCACATTCCTAAATGGAAATGTAGATTTGCAATTGGTCGCTGTATACGCACTACAAGTATTTTGCTACAACGAAAACTTTCCAAAAGGTAAGTAAAAAAAATATAAATATAATAAAATAATGAAATTACAAAATGCCGATTTAAACAATATAATAAATAAACATATTATAGATTAGGTTAGATTATAAGCAGTTTTTAATATTGTGGTAAATCATGGAGGTCTATCAAACAGATAGCATGAAAGGAATTACCAAAATGTATACATAGAATAGAATGTGGGTTAATGTACCTAGATAGTGTGAGAGTGGAGGGAGTTGTTTAAGAGGTGAGACTATAATTAAAGTCATTTGATTCCAAAGATCGATTGGAATCAAGTTAGTGTTTGAATTGTGGACACGAAAACAAATGGCCGACATCATGGGGATAGAGTTGTAGTTAGTTATTCAAGTTATTTTCTGATTCGTCAATTGTCATTATTAAAATACCGATTTCTGTTGAATTATTGATTACTGTTGATTTATTAATAAACTTTTTTTTAATGGAGTATCGATAATAATTTATAATCTTAACCTTGCAGAAGAGTGACATATCAAAAATTTTTTTTCTCGTCATTGCAGACAAAAGTTTGTTATTGTCATATTTATACTCTCGACATCATTTCTTTGTATAAACAAAGTCTTGTTATAGCTCCTACCAGTGTAGAGTCTAACAATGTGTTTTGTAATTATTATAGCTAAATGCCGACCCTAAAGCAAGTGCATATAAGGTTGACGAAATACTGTTTATTAAGGATGAGAAAGTAAATAGTGATGTTGAATCTAATCTGGATCCACATGAAGGAAGCTTGCCGACAGAGTCATAAATCAATAGTGCTCAAATTTCATTATCAGCAGATATGTTTCCTGAAATATCGGTACACTATAAATTCCAGATTCGTTGGTATATGCTATATATACTAAAATACTTCTGCTGGTTACGAACACATATTGATAGATGGTTATAGCTGTCCATAGATAAACAACTCCCCATATTAAGTAATGTTAGGAAAAAATCGATTGCTGCACAAAAAATCTTTCAGGTCGCAATGCATGCATAACATATCCATAATAATAATAATCGATACATTAACTAACTTTCATAAAGGAGTTGTGATATCTTTGAATTATCTTTTGTTGAAGATCGATTGTTTCACTCATATGGTTTCTTCAAAAACAGCTCTTCGAAATAGATTCTATAGCCTATTTTGCTTATTAATTTTAATCTTTGTGTCTGTTTTGCCAAATTTAAGTATTATTTTCTACTTATTGGTCGTAATATCTTTTAATTTTTTTTAGTTGAATTGAATGAAGTATACAAAGTTGATAACTAAACTAAGACAATACAGCATTGAGGTTTAAGTTAAGTCTATCACTTCGATCTTTAGTACCCAATTAAGTTTCCTGGATATTTTGCTTTATCGGTAGTCTTTAGTACTTTACGTGAAGAAAAGAGGGTTTTATATAGTTGCAATAAAAAATATATTAAAAAGATATAATGATAATTTAGTATTATATTATATATTAATCTTAATAACCATTTTATAATAAATATATAATAAATAAATAATATATTAGATAAATAATAAATAAGTAATAATACAGACATAATAATAAATATATAATAATAAATATATAATAATAAATATATAATAATAAATATATAATAATAAATATATAATAATAAATTTAAAATAATAATTCAATACAATTACTCTATGACATCCAATTCATTAATTTTTGTTTATTTTTTTTTTATAAATAGGAATGCTGTGCCGTTGGTTCAAATATTTATATGAAGCTGAAGTTATAGAGGAAGAGCCATTCATAACATGGAAGGATGAAATATCTGATACCTATCCAGGCAAAGGAACAGCTCTATTCCAAGTAAATACTTGGTTGACATGGTTACAAGAAGCAGAATCGGAGGATGATGACGATTAAACTCAACCGCATTCTGCAAAATTAAAGAATCTTCAATAGATTTATTTACTATAAGGCTCTTCGAAAAACAAAAAAAAATATATATATATAAAATAATATAAAGAAAAATGGTATACATAAAAATCAACTAATGGAACGTATCAGCTCAACTTTACACAACAATTGTTTTCAACTTTTGTTCTGTGTAAACGTAGACATCTAAAAATATTTGCTTTAAGTCAATTGCCAAGTGCAAAGCAAATGCTGTTTTTAAATAAAATAATTTCAATAAATGAAAATAAAACCAAACAAAAAAAAAAAAAAGGAATCGTATGACAACAAATTATCTCCATGTATTAAAAATTTGTAGTCTCATTATTTATTTTGTATAACTACTATTTAAACATGTTTTTTTTTTCATTCAAAAAATTCAAACTGAACCAAACAAATTGATCAAGCAATAAATAATTGGACTTATTTTGTAATATGTAACAAATAATGATGTATTTAGTAAAATTATAAATTCTGTAAAAACAATTTTCAATAAACACAGTAAAAATTTCTTGCAAAATCAATAGAAAAAATAATGTACTCTTCATACCTATGTTAAATTATAATGTATTTAATATAAAAGATTATTAGAAAAAAAGTACACAATACATTGGTAATCCATTTCGAACGACTATACAGAAATTTAAAAATCAATAAAGCGGAAAAATCAGCGATTCGCTAATGTGATGTGTTTTTTTTTTTTTGGATTCAGAAATAGGTCAAAGCCAAAGTTAATAGGAAAGATCGTTACAAACTTAGTTGTCCATACTGCACCACCCTACGATCAAACAAGTTCATCTGAAGCTTAATTGCTTTTTTCACATTTTCGAGTATCGAAAGTAATTAGTGATGTGGAATATGAAATCTACTTAGATATTCGAAAAAATGTGGTGACCACAAATGTTTAAATTGGTAATGTATTTATTTGTTAACAATTTCACCGCACAACTTTTTATTTTTGAATAGAATTGTGCAATTATATCTTAATTAGATTAATTTGGATATAAATTCTTTATTTAAATACTTATTTTAGTACAAGTAATCGATAGTGGAAGAAAATATTACAGTTTCCTGTAATACAATTATGACAATTGTGATATTCACAAAAACTCTTCAATGCAGTATAAACTCTCAATTTGTTGGATCCAATATTTCGAATGTATTATTGAAATGGATGTTAATATAAAATGTATTATGAAATATATTTATATATAATATATATTATAATAAAAACTACATGATTTAAAAAGTGAGGTCGTATCGCAATGTATTAATATACAGTGACAGGATAAAGATTGCATGTAAAAACATCACTTGAAAAATTACAGAAGAGTGAATATACTACCGCAGTATACCGTTTTACAGTGACAGATGGTATTAAAAAAATATTGCTTGAAATACTGAAGAACATTCGATTAAATATACGCCTCTATATCGTACTGCAATATATTGTACCGTACTTAATATTCAACTAATTTTGATTATCCGGTGAACACTAGCTACAAAAATCTTTTTAAGGCAGTCACTTTATAGCAATGTAGACCAATAATCAACGCCACTATAGGTAGTTTCGCTTAATTAGCAAAATTGTTTGGTGTGCGATTGTTTAGCGATAGTGTGTATAGTCCCAAAATTTAAAGAATTAATAATTTGAAATCAAATAAAACGGATGTGCAAAAAAAACCTTTCACTGAGGTAGGTATAGTTAGCATATAATTGACACTTATTACATATTAGTTATGTAATTATTATTATTATTAGCACAAGTTTAGCATGCTAAATAAAAATCACGAGAAATCTATTGTAATTTTTTAATGTAAGTTTGGAGCAGCAAAACTAAAAAATTTACTTTATTTTGAATATTATATTTCACAAATTTGTATTTTGATACATACATCATATTTTTGTGGATTAAATATAAACACATGCGCATATATAATGTACATGATTATATTTTTATTGTAACGGAAAAAATTGAAATGATTAAATCATTCCTATTTTCCGGTCACGCCAGGTTGGCATTGTATTTAAGAGAAGTCAGCAATAAACTTAATAAACTTTTAGATATCAGGCTTTAAAATTTAACATTTTTAAATGAAAACCACTAACAAATAGACGTGCAAGATATTAACCGTACATTCTGTAATTAAAGTAAAAATTACATTGGAAATGGGTGCAGTTTTTTTTGATAATGTATTCAATTTAAGTCTAAAACTCGGAAAAGTTTAAAATACTTGACTCCACTATCCATATCTTTTACGACATTATGTAATAAATATTCTCAAAATATTTCAAGCCTAATGAGAAACCACTTCTATTATTTGTTATGCAAATATTATAATATTATATAGAGTTTTAGCAATTTTCATAAATGATGCAAATAAAAATCTAAAATAAATAAAATAATATTTAAATAATAAAATAACAATATATATTAAATTTTCACAATGGTAACACCTAATTTACCTAATTTGTATCTAATTTACTCTACTCAAAATTCTGGTAAATACCAACATTCGCTGCCATACCGACAAAATTTATTATTCTCTCAATTTACTATCAATTTACATGAACTCGCATACGACCTAAATATTTTTGCAAACAAACCACATATAAATGATTTGTACTCGGTATTCACATTTCAAAGTAATCGAATGATTTCCTTTAATATCATTAGCAAATTGTAAACAATTATTGCTTTATATTATTTGTGCATAAAAACAAAAATTATTGAAATATGGAAGAAAAGCTTGAAAATATCAAAACATCCAAGTCCACATTTAAGTCTAGTGCAGGTTTTATTGAAGTTGGTGAAAGAAAAATCATTTTACGTGTACTTAAAATGGGTCGTGCCACTTTGCTCTTCATAAACAACACCCAACCGGAAATTATTGACCAAATGGCACTGGCAATGTGTATGCGGAATAGTAATGAAATTGTGTCCACTGCAATACTAGGAGATGAATTAGAGTCACAGAGTTTTGCAGAAAAATTATGTAAACGCTTTGGACGTCCTTTCTATGTCAGCTACAATATTCAAGCGGATCGTTTAAACCGTGCACTCTTAGATCAAAACATAATGGAATATATACGCAATCATGAATCGGAATTTATTTGAGGACCGAACAAGTCTAATTAGAAGTAAAATGTTTATAAAAATTTTTTTAGTTTAAAAATAAAATAAAATCAAACCTATTTATAGAAAATACTGCTCTAAATATTGTAATAATTTATTAATAAACTGTCACGGTGACGTCGTGGAGGGTCATTCATGGAGATTGCATTTTGGTACTATTTTTGATCGCTTCTCGTAGGGTTTTAGTTGAGACCCCACAGAGTTTATGCTATGCGGATGCATGCTAATGTTCCAATCATTTGCAATGTTGTGTAGGCCGCGAGAAAGTCGCATTAGTTTTTTATTCATTTTTGCTGTGTCATTGTTGTGCTTTTAAGTATTTGCGCGCGTGTTTTAAAACTATTAGCACGTTTTGAAAAAATTATTCTCATTTGTTATGATTCCTAATTATCGTGACACTTGGCAACAGGTATAGTTTTTAACAAAATATATGATTCAATAATATGACAAGACATTTTAATTGGTTAGCATTAAGTTAATACGGATACAATTTCATCCAATGAAGTGATTCAATTTCCAATTATAACATAATTTTTGTTTTTTTTATTAATAAAAAATAATTTAATAATTTTTCTTTAAATTCACAACAATTTGTTTTTTGGAAAACAATTTTTTGCAATTTGTGACGCTAATAAAACATAAATTATTAACTATGCGGTCATATATTTACAGTTCTTGAATTTAATAAGTAATGATGACTATTGAAAAAAAAATATTTTTCAGCATGATGTGCAAATTTTAAAATAATCGCTACTGCTGATAAAAATACTAAATCTTTAATAATATACCTATTAGTTAATACTAGCCTTCATGCATTTTAATCTGCTTCTCTAATGACATCGTAACCTAGTAGTGGAGTAAAATGTTAATGCTTTTCGTCTTCTTTAAGAATAATAGTTTTTCTGCACCAAGAACGGGCTATACTTAATTATATTTTTATGTTCTAGTAGAAAATATATAAAATTAATATTAGTGAAGATTTTATAAATACTTGAAAACCAGAAAATTTTATTTAGTTTTTACATTTAACTGCATTTGACCTTTAGGTTATCACAGAGCAACGTAATTACATACATATGTGTAATGTTAGTAGTCTACGAATAAATATTTTTCTTACAACTGTTTTTATAATATATTTATTATAATCTTGATAGAATAAATAGTGATCTTAATATTGGATAAGATGAATATAATGATCGAAATAATTGTATATTAATGAAGCTTTTTGATTAAATAACATGGAAATAATCATTTACGCTATCATAAATTATATGACATAATTTCATCGTAGATTAGGTACAAATCGGTGTGATTAGTGATTCAGTAAATTATATTCTAAAGGCTGTGAACACATATGTATATATCACGATAAAGTAACCAAGAGGACCATGTTGTTGTTGGTACACCCGCAGGAATCCGCAGGAAAGCAGATAATATGGAAGGTTTACAAATAGATAAGTTAGAATGTGGATAGGTGATGATTGAGAGAGGGGGGGGTGGGAGGAACATGGAGAAGGAGTGAACTGCAGATAGTTAGGATTTCAATTGAAATCAACCTGGGTCCAGACGGAGGAACCAAGAGAGCTATTTATAAGCATGCTATTACTTAATAGCTGGAAATTTTTAAAATTGCTAACTATTTAAAGCTTTTAGACAGAATTACAGTAGTACATTCCAGATTTAGAGTAAAGAGGTCGATACTCTGTTGGTACCGCATTGAACAACTATTAAATTATTTAACAACTAAAAACTATTGTTTTTTATATAATTTTATTTCATTTATTTTTTCCCTTTTATTTATTTTTATCGTTTTTTCTTTTCTTATTCTTACTTTGGCGCTGAAGTTGTTATTCCAGAGCGTGAGCGTCACTTATATATAGATTACGGATAGTATTATTTGCATTATTTATTTATTAATGTATTAGGCAGTAATGAATGAAAAACATATTTTTTTGATCTATAATCACTAAAGGATAATAGTATGTCTGCAAATTCTAGGGAATAATAAAGTTTGTATATTTACGAATTTTTCCAAGGCTCAGGGCAAAGTGGCTTTCATAAATTCTTCACGTCGAATCTATGGTAGTCGTAGTCCAATACTCGACTATGGTACTGAATTATACACTTTATTAGCAGTAATTAACTTTTGAAAAGATTTACACTAAATAAATAGATTTTAGGAA